ACCCTTTGTGGTTTCTAGGAAATTTGTACTACTTCTTTCAAACAGAATGCTTTCCTTTAATGGACTCTGTCTTCTCTGCTTCACAGTTCTCTTAAAGAATCACATACCCAGTTCGTGAATTCCTAGTAAATCAAATTACCTTCAGAAAGCATGTCAACTGAGACCATCTTGAAAATAAAAAGTGTTATTAAGTCTTCTAAGTCATTCTGTACCTGCATCATGTTAAAGGATTAAACTGTGATTTTCAGACTTGTACTCTCCTATTCCCAAGCCACCACTAGCTCACCTCCTCATTTTTAAGTTCTATTTTGTTTTCCGTCATTGTGCAATTTACCAAAACCTTGCTGACATTCCATTGCTTCAGGTCAGGGAGTCACCAGTGTGCACTAAGAGTAAGGAAGGATTACCAGGGAGATGGACCACACTCTTCACCAGCACAGGGCCTATCATCAAGCTGAGGAAGCAATCACATACAAATGAAATAATAATATCCCCCCAGATATGCAGAATTCTACAAGGAAAATTCACTTAAATCTTGATGCTGGCCCTATGGCATAGTGGTTAAGTCTGGTGCACTGTACAGCAGCAGCCCAGGTCCACGGGCCCGGATCCCAGGTGTGAACCTACACCACTCATCAGCCATGCTGTGGCAGCAACCCACATAAAAACAGAGGAAGACTGGCAGAGATGTTAGCTCAGAGCAAATCTTCCTCAACAACAACAGCAACAAAATTCACTTAAGTCTCTTTTCCCATTTATTCCTTATAACAACCTTGTGATGTATGTCAGGCATTCCTTCCCTTTTTTCACAAATATGGAAACTGAGAGCCAGAGTAACCATCCCAAAGGCTCACAACAAATATGTTCTAAAAAAATCATGAGATCCCCAGGTCACCCAACAACCAATACAGTGCTCATGAACACACACAAAGCAACAAAAGAAAAATAATTTTAATTATATTAATGTGCATCCATGTACATAAGTGAAGAAGAAATGTGGTGGAGATATTCATTAGAATTGCTTGGGTATAATGTAGGAAGCCTTCCTGTAAGAAGTATGTCTTAGAAAGATGGACGTTATATAATGGATAATAAAGAGTCAATCTACAGGAACTGAACCAGAAAGAAGGCCAAAAATGCATTATGAGCAAAGAAACTGGTAGACATGGATAAATCCAAATAAGTATTGAAATTAAATAAGATAAGAATATAATACTTAAAAAAGAAAGTTAAAAAAATGTGGACCCAAAACACAAGACAATAATCATTTGAAAGATGAGAAGGTGAACAGAGGTCCTTGAATTATTTAGGAGAAAGGTAAAGATACAAATAAGTCAAATAGTGATGCTAAAAAACTGATACTGATGTTAAGAGTCATCAATTAACACAAAAACTTTCAAACCAGTGGAGGAAATCCAGGAGACTAAAGAATCCAAAAGATGGCAGAAAAGAATAAAACTAAAATAAAAACAGAGAAAATGCATTTTAAAATGGAAAATAAGATGCTCTAAATAAATCAAAATGCAATTAATCTCAATAAATATACATAGATTAAACTTGCCAATTAGGGAGAGTCTCAGAATCTAAGACTATTTATAAAAGGTACAGCTAGAGTACAATAATCTAGAATGGTAAGTTAAAGGATAGAAAGATATATATACACCAACTACTATACAAAAGCTAATTTAATTCTGTTAGTATCAAGCCAAATAGATGTTAAGCAGAAAAAGCATTATTAGTGATAAAGAAAGTTAGAAAATAATGTTGAGGAAATCTCCCAGAAAATATAGCAAGAAGATAAAATATCAGACAATAGGAAAGGAAAAAAAAGGAAATAAGAGGTACAATACCTGAATAAAAGGAGTTTCAGTAAGAGAAGGAACAGAGAAAAAAGGAGAGAAGAGTGGATAAAATCATCACAGGAGAAAAATCAAGACATAAGACATGCTTTTCCAGACTGAAATAGGCCAGCGAGTCAGAGCCCAAGAAAACTGATGAAAATGGACCCACACCAAGGTGTATCATTGGGAAGTTTCAGAACCCAGGGACAGGGAAGATACACCAAACTTCCAGAAAGAGAAAACAGGCCACAAGTAAAGGATTAGAAATCACAATGGCTTCAAGTTTCTTAACAGAATCAATAGAAAGTAGAGGATAATGGCACTATGTCTTTCAAAATTCTGAGGAGAAATTACCCCTGGCCTAGAATATTATAACTAGCCAAACTATCAGTCAAGTGGGAGGGTGGAGCGAAGAGAGATCTGTTTAAGAAAATGACATTGATAGACTATTGCTTGCATCGGTATAATGAGGGGAGATTTAGACAATTGGCAGAGAGCTTAGTGGTTGAATTAGTATTAAGTACATAGAAAACTAAGCAAATGATGAAACCAGATAGTTATCAACTCTTGGGAAAATGGAAAGTGCAGAAAAGGAAAAGTAATCAGAGCATATTGAAGGTTTAGCTATAAATAGGATATTTGCAGTCACAATGACATAAACACCTAATATATATTGAACCAAAAGGATGACACACCCATATCATGAGAATGAGGTGAGGAAAACAGTGCACATACATAGTGAGGGCAGTGAGAAAAAGGGCTAAAACCTCAAATTCCATAGTGAGAAGTCAAAGACAAGGCATAAAACTGAAAAACCAAGAGGTAGGTACATAATCTTGTTTGGTGACATGGAAGAAAATAGTAAAAGAACCACCTAAACAATTTGAAAGTGGCTGCCTCTAGGATCTGCTCTTTTTTAAAACAAAATATTGCCAATTGCTCTTCATAGAGGTTTCAGCAAGTTATACACCCTTGAGCAATGTCTGAGAGTGCCCCACACTGTCACTTTATCAGTCCAGGTCCCCTACAGAGTGATGCCAAGTCAGGGTTAGATGGGCAAGAATTTTACTGAGATAAATGCCTGGGAAGGATAAAGGAAGGAAGGAGGAGCCTTCAGACCACAATGCAGGTCTGACACCTGTGAAGAGGGAAAGGAGAGCCTCAGACCACAGCACAGGCAAATGGGGAGTCCCGGGGCAAAAGTTGCTGATAGAAGAGTCCTGCATTGAGCAGGCGTAGACTAATCATAATATCACCACCATTCTTAGTCACTGGCTGGGAGCAGCCTTGGAGAAATACGGCTTCATTGTGTGAACCACAGCAGATCAGAAAATGCAGCCGCTGTCAGTCAACTGTGTTCAGTGGTGTGTTGGTAAATGATTAACAACTTGTTCTACAGAAAGTTTTTTCAAAAAATAGCATTTTCAGGTTTCTGGGTGTAAATACTCCCACTATGGCCAATTTCAAGCTACCACTGTGATAGTGTGGTAACTCAGGGAATACTGAGTTTGAAAGAGATGCTAATAATTGGGTTTCCCAAACAAGGAGCCAGATCCAGGAAGCCACTAAATGCTCCATGCAGCAAGTTTTCATGAAAGGAAATCTGAGCAGCATACTTCCTCAGCCACCGTACACACCAACCTAGTGTGTTAACGAAATTTTAAACGTAACAGTATGATAACTAAAAATTGTATGTTAGCGTAGTTTGTAGTTTTGCTTTGCATTTTCCTCAATATGAATGAGGCTGAGAATCTTTTGATATTTTTATATACTATATTAAGTGCATTTACTATTATGTTATATATTAACGTATTTTCTTTTCTATGAATTGAGCCAATCCTTTGAGTATTTTTATTAAAATTTTTATGCCTCTTTTAAATAACTGAAATCTTAATGTATTGATCTTAATATATTAATCCATTTAGCAAGTGAAATACAAATACTGCTTAATATCTCCTTATCATATGATTAGCATTTTAAAAATTAACTTCTCTCAACCCTTTCCAGAGGGTAAAGAGGAAAGAAATAAATGTACCCTAAAAATCTTGATGTAGGTGGAATCTAAAACCAGAAAACAAATTACTATGACTCCTTTTTTCTCCATAATTTTTGAAGTAACAATTACCTGTACACCATCAAAATACAATGTCTACATTTAACTTTCATGGAAATACTTTTTTTCAATGTCATTAAAGTTGATCGAATGTAGAAATGTTATGGAAAAAAGTCACTGAAGAAAAATTTCAACCTATCTCCCAACTCATATAGAAAAACAAAAGCTTTGACAACATCGTAAAGAACTTTCCATCTGAGCAGTCTACAAGGACAGTAGAATCTTTAGGGAAATTAAGTTTGTAATATTCTCATTATTGACATATTTTAATAATAGATACATTCTACATTGATTCATTTATATATTATTAGTTGAGATTATTGATTGCATCCTATTAGCGTTACATAGCAACTTGAAAATCATTCACTATTAAGTTAGAGGCTAAGAAGCTTTGGATAAAGTGGTCTTTTAAGATATTACATATGTTTTAAGCATTTCTAGTCATGCAAACAACACTGAATGAGCAGAACCAGGAATTCGACCAGACGTCAGAAATCATCCATTACAGACTCTAACCACAAATGTACTTACCCAAAATTTAAAGCAAAAGCTATAAAGAAGAAATCAAAAAGGCAAAAATTTAAGAAGTGCTCTTCCATAAAAGTTTTCTTATGTTTATGTTAGCTCGAGCACTGCTACCATGTATATCTGGAAGGGAGGAGTCAAAAGATCTATGGCTGCATAGAGTTAAAACGCTACAGTTTTCCAAAGAAAATACATCTATTTCATCATCTTTCAGTCAATTATCTAGGTTGTGAACTGTATTTGACTCCAAATACTGTTGCTTTTCTTCTGCTCCACCTCCTCCAACCACAACCTCCAACCACAGCCATTTTCATGGTAATTAGTATTTCCAACCAGAAATCAAAAAAAAAGAAGCAGACAAAAATTAATTTAAGAAATTTTATATGATAATTTATGGCAAGTGTTTAGCAGGGTTAAAGTTGAAAGTTAGCTTAAAAAGAAGCTTGGATTATCTGTAAACTCTTTTTATCCTAATTTTCTCAAAACATGATCCACTGTACTCAGAAAAAAAAGAAACTTACCTCATCCACATTTTCAAAGGCATTGATGATGTCGTAAGGTAAACAAGACAACAGATCAATCACAAACCAAGTTTTCAGATAGTTCATCCTTATCAGCTTGGGGTCAGAAATGACTTCTCCACCAGGTCCCACAAAGGTCGTGTGAAAATTTAAAACAATGTCAACCAGAAAAATAACATCCACCACGCTGTCCAGCACCAGCCAGGCTATGTTGTTCTGCTTCGTTTTGAAGGAAACATTATAAGGAACCATAATGGCGGTGTAGAAGGTAAGAATTAAAATCACCCAATCCCAGGTAGTTTTAAAAGCACAATAGTGTAAAATGATGTGTGGTGGCGTCTTTGGCGCTTCTTGCTTATACTGAGGAAGGATGTCTGATCCCAGCTGAAGAACCTAAAAGAGAGAAAGTGTCTATATGAATGACTTGGACATCTGCATAGTTAGTAATGAATTCAAACTTACTGGCAATCAAACCACATCCTATTTATCACGACTCTTGGTTTCAAGGCCAGTCACACCCTATAGTTCTGTCTCCCTCTTCTCCTGAGTTGCACCAAAGTTTGTTCAAAGGAAGTCACTCCAAGTCCAATCCCTCTACCAAAGTTGATCTGTCTACTGTTATATCTGACTTGCTTTCCAGTAGCCAACTGTTGCTTCGCAAACTGTCCCCCGTACACAGAGAGCAGGGAGAGAACTAAGACAGAGGCAGACCACTCCAGATAGGTAGATGGCAGGTTTAAGAAGCAGGAGAACTTACTTACGAGCTTGTCTTGGGTGGCTGCAAGATGAGGAGATCTCCGCACCTGCCTGCAAGAATCTTAAAAGTTTATATAGAGCCTTAACTGGGTTCAGTCACACATACTACCCAGATGGTCTCAACAACACCATACTCTCTCAAGGCCATGTCCTAGGAAATGGCTCCCACTGTGGGAATGGTAGGCAGAGTGTACATTCCAAGGACGAGGAGGGGGTGAGGAGCCTCTGATTGTCCAGGTCTGGCTCAAGGGTCAATTGGTGGGCATGTCCTCTTGATGACCTCTTCTAGCACCAACAGTGACCCACAGCGCTGCTGGACATCCACTTCTGGGAGTGCCTTCTGCACACTCACTGGGCAAGCCTGCCTAGAATCACATGTCTCTCACTGATTGTCCAACAGTTATTTAGGTGACTCACCGTTATTTATTCTTCACACATATTTAGCACCTCAGGGAGCATCACTTTGATTCTGATGGCCTCGCTCACCCCTACCACCCCACTGTTGGTGATTCTGCTGTTGAGGGGGACTCAGTAAGGGTTCTAATGACTGGCATAGCAATATCAGAGTTGTAACTGTTATAGCCTGCTTTTTCCTTTTCTCTCTTCAATCAAGATTTAAAGAATATTTTGTCTCCTGCCCAGATGCAAATTCCCTTTAGGAAAAAAAAAAATGCCAAATACTCAGGTTTGCTTCTCCATACCTTTTTGACAAATTTCAGTGCAAGGTTGTATGAACCTTAACTTACTCTGATTAGGTCTAATTAAAGAAAAAAGCAGATCATAGAGCATGAGTGGAGGTCTGGGCAGCCCTGGAAAAAGGCAACAAACACAAGACTTAGCATTGCCTTCCAGAACCTGGAACCTTGAAATTATGAAAAGGCGTTGAAGGAGTGGGTCAGAGATCTCTGCTCCACACCACCAATGAATCGAAGGCTGAGTAAACCTGTGTGTTAAGGAGTTTGTAAATGGGACTTTGACAAATTATGTTTCCAGCAGCTGTGCTATCTTATGCATCCAACTATTCAGTGTCTCTAGGACTAATGGGACTCAGGAGGTAGGAGTCAACAGCTTCAAACTGTAAAATTATAAATGCATTAAACATTGAATGTAAGAATGGATATAAACGAAAATACCTGTTAGCATGTAATTCACATGCCACAAAGCAAAACAAACTAGCATTTCTTGAAACTTGGGAGACAGTTATCCTGAAAAGTTTGTCTCATACATAGAACTTACATAACTGAAAACGAAGTATATAACATGCATTATTACTATTTTGAAATGTGAAAAACATCACGGGTATTCTCTTCAGCTGTGTATTATAATTATTGTTTTAAGTTGGGAGGTTATAAGAACAATTTATAAAGATTTTTGTATATTTATGCTCATTATCAGTGCCCCCACCATATTTTTCCCATAAAGTCTTAAATTACTTAGCGGCAAATTATCCTCCCAGGAATGTAAGTTTCATTTTGGGATGGAGCACTACGTATACAGAATCACGCATAATCATGGCTTCTCTTTCACTTTTATACCACTGGTTTATCCATTCCAATTTCACTGTGTTAAACATGAAAATTTCCTTTATTTTCAATGTCAATATTATACCATCTATATTTACACAGTCTATAGTTTGAGCGCAAAGAAAGCAGACTCAGGGGAAAAACTCAGTGCCAGAGTGCATTACCACCTTCATGGGCCCTATGCACACTTGCCTTTCTGGACCTCTTTCATAAAAAAAGTAAAATTAAATAAAAATTATGTTTTACAACTGCATTGTTACACAGATGAATACATTAATATTATATAATCAAATTTTTTTACCCAGAAATTCATTTTTTTACTTCTACTGTTGATAGAAATTCAAGCATCCCGTGGACCCCTTAAAGGGTTGTAGGCCTCACACACTGTGCTCCCAGACCAGCCGGCCCTGCTCAGTACCCTGGAATAATGGGAGCTGTCTCCTCCAGAGGCGGAATGGGATCACTCTTGAGTTCAGTGTTTCTTAAATCTGGCTACAAACTAAAATCATTTGGAGAAGTTTTAAAAAATATTGTATAGTCATACCTAGAGCCCATCCCAGAAAATAATTAATCTTGTGTGGGTTCTCAGAGAATCTATATTTTCAAAACCTTTCCAGGTGATTATAATGGACAGCCCAAGATAAAACCCTTGTCTTATATTTCTTTAGACATTCAGAACCCAATTCTTCAGACAATGACTTGCATACGTAAAGTGATCCAAAAATGCTAAAGAAAGACGACAACAACAACAAAAGCGACCCCTGTGCTTCAGCTTTGAAATTCCTCAAATGCAGACCACTACTTCAATCTTAGCTCCCTCACTGGGGCTCTCTTATAAAGCACTGAGTAACAACTCTCCACTTTCCTTGCTATTTCATTTGTGCTTTCATAAGCAATAAGCCTTAGGTTGAGAGGGGATGAAATCATATTTTCTGATGTATTTTTGTACCAAGACAGACACGTTCCTTCTCTCTGAATATCTGAGTGCACTGACTCTAACGGAGTCAAGACGATGGATGAGGTGGTGGTGTGCTGTCTATCTCCTCCCAATATAAAAGTGAGAACCTGAAGCCAATCAGCAGGATTTCAGTGCGTGCGGAAAATCGATACACTGCCTACAAGGAGGCCAGGATCTCTGAAACTGGGAATCAGCTCCAAATTTAGGGGTCCCAGTGGACTTGAGATAAAATTTGTAAGTCTCAGAGAAAATTAAAGAGCTTGAAATTCAACAGCAAATCCAAATACTAGGGTTGAGCAAATTACATGATTCTGAGCACAACTGGGAGAACAATATCCTTGTGTTAACCTGATGCTTCTTCTAGGTCAGTCTTTGGAGATCTAAGAGCATAGGCAAACTAAATATCTGTTGAAAACCTTGTTATTTCTTCATTTTCTCTGAAATCTAGCCTAAGACCTGACAGAAAGCAGGGGTTTTTTGTTAGTTTGGTTTTTGGGTCTTTGTGAGGAAGATTGGCTCTGAGCTAATATCTATTGCCAATCTTCCTCTTTTTGCTGGAGGAAGATTGTTGCTGAGCTAACACCTGTGCCAATCTTCCTCTATTTTGTATGTGGGATGCCACCGCAGCATGGCCTGATGAGCGGTGTGTAGGTCCACACCCAGGATCCGAACCCATGAACCCCAGGCTGCCAAAGCAGAGGGCACAGAACCTAACCACTACACCACCGGTTGGTCCCAGAAAGCAGTTTTGTATCTGAATCAGGTTTGTAAATTAGGGGTGACTGATAAAGAAACTAACAATAATCAAAAGGCAAAGAAAAAAAAATCTGATGGGAAGAAAGAGGCATGAAAGTTCCTCAAAAATAAAAGTAAAAATGATGAGCTGTCAAGGGGAAAGAAACTTCCCACTTGATGCAGAGGAAAAAAACAATCATGGGGGATTCAGTAGTAAGGTAGAAAATTTTCCTCTCCATGGTCTCTTTCCTCTTGTTCTTGCCCAGTTGTGCAATAGAGAAAAGAAAAATTCTGAAGGTATGTAGCTAAGACTCAGAAGGAATCACGACTGTAAAAGTCAGCAGTCACAGAAACAAGCTCCTACACCTCGGCTTGATTTGTAGAAAGAAACGAACAACCCAGGGCAGAAATGAAAGTCACTTCAAAATCAAGTCTACTTAAAAACAAGCTTTACTGAAAAAGGGAAGTTGTATCTAATTGTTTGCATTAAATCTTGTGCTAACTGCATATCATCTTTTAAAATATTGTGATTATTAATAAGTTAATATTTAGCTATGTTAACATTTTATTTGGGCCTTCAAAAGCATACCCGCACATCCAGGTGTTAATCTCTCCCCACGCTAGCAGTGCTGCTTAGAGAAGAAAGCCACTCTCGTCTCTCTGACAGCTACGGTCCAAGAAAACTCCTGAGCCCTCCAAATTCAGGGAGCAGACTTCACTGTCCAACCCTCTCCAAATCAACTGTAATGTCCACAACTAGTTACGAAAGTTCCTCTGGGCACCTTCAACTCACTTTTCTCCAGCAGAGCAAACTGATGAACACATGCACCTAATTTTATCTTTCTCTTCCTTGGCAAGTTACCTCAGCATGTTTTGTGAGTGCCCACTAAGTGCTCAGCCACTGGGTACCTTGATTAGCCTTTTGGCATCTTTCATGCCAATACGACGAACAATGATGGCAGAAGCCAAGTGAACAACAAAGCTTCTGGCTGCCTCAGAGTTCCGTCCTCATTCCTATTCTCTCTTTTTTCAATACCCCATCTCTGGGTAACATCGTCTAGTCCTGTGGCTTTAACAGCCATATCTGTGAGGATGACACCAGGGCCTGCAACTCAAACCCAGATATCCCTCCAGAGTCAAACCCAAAAGTCCCATTGCCTTTTAGGCCTCTCCATGCAGATTTCTTGTCAGGCACCTCAAACTTAATATGTCCAACCCTGAACTCATTTTCATCTCCCCCGAAACCTTCCCCTCCTCCTTATATTTGGCGTTCTGTTAACCAACAGCACTCACTACCTACCCAGTAGTCCAAGCCAAAAACATAGAGTTGTCCCGGACTTACCCCATTATTTCACATTTAATTCTAATCTAAAAACCAATGTGATAACTCTAATCTTGGTGTGTCTGCAATCTGCCCCCTCCTGCTACTGGTTCCCTTGCTTAAAGCCATGGTCATCCTAGCTGAATTACTCGTGGACCTCTTACCAGTTTCCTATCACCCATTCAACACAGAGCCACTAGGTCAAGCAGAGGTTCTTAACCACTTTTGTGCCATCAATCTCTTCTGGCAATCTGGTAAAATGTCTGGACCCCTTCTTAGAACAATGTTTTTAAATTAATACAGTAAAAATGTGGGATTACAAAGGAAACCATTGGGACCGACCTGCCTTTGAGAGGTTTTTCTGAAGCACAAATGTGACCAAGTCATTTCTCTGCCACATGGAACACCAACCACCACTGTGTCCTTAATATTTCCTTCCCCACCTGACTTCACCCACACTGAAGTCACACTCAGAGTCATCATATGTCTCATCTCTGAGCCTTTGCATATGCTGGCCTCCCTGGTAGGAATAACCTTCATCCCTTCTTTATCTGCCACTTATAGTTTTCCCTTCAGGATTCACTCAGCTCAGGTATCGCTTCAGTCAGGTAGCCCTCCCTAGCGCCCCAAGCCTGGGTAAATGCTCCTGCCTCTGCTCCCACCGCACCCTGTCATAATATTTATCACATTCTAGTGTTGGTTTCCTTTGCCCATTGCTTATGCATCTTTACATCCTTTGCACAGTATACAGCACAGGGCAAACCCTCAACAAATGTATGCTGAATACACAAACGGATAAATAAGTGAGCTCCCTACCTCATTTGCTCAAAAGAAACCTCACACTCTACAGACACTACCTGGTGTGTCATGAACTACTTTTCCATTTCCAAAGTATGGGGGAATAAAAAGAAATATTTGAAATTTCTATAATTCTTCAAGGGAAAAATAAGTTAGCAGACAAGTATTGCTAAAATAATAGCCAGAAGTATCTATATTGATTCATTTTGGGGGAAAAACGTACCACCACCACCATATTGGGAACCAAAGTTAGTCTCACACTTACTTCAGCTAATCTCGAATGTTTGTGGACCACCTCTGTTTTATTCATTGGAGTGAGCTGCTGCAAAACACTTCGGCTATTTGTCAAAGCCCGTGTCAATCGGGCAAATTTTGTCCAACCTTAAAAATAAGGAAAGAAAGTCTCAGTTTTTTGCATATAATGAATCTGGAATGCAACATTCTTGCTAATATTCAAAGCATCTCAGAAATAGCATAACATCCAGAACTAGTGAAAAGTATCAATCTAAAGCATTTTATTTCTACATACACATTATTATATATTTCAAGTGTGGCTATAAAATAATGAGTGATTTTATGTGTGACCTTTCTGTTTTGCTCATATCTACTGTATAGTCCCTGTAGCCAAGGCAGCTAGCCATCCACAAAATCCTGTGCTCCCCCTTGAATTGCACAGGTTTGTTACTGGGAACAGCTGCCCAGCCAGGAATACATTTTCTAGCCGTCCTTGCATCTAGGTGTGGCCCATGTCCCTAGTTCTCACCAATGGAATGAAAGCAGAAGTTATGCGTGTCGTTTCCATGTAAGCCACAACTTAAGAAGCAAGTATGACTTCTCCACATTTCCTCCTTCTACCAGCTGGATGCAAATGAGAACAAGGCCCCAAGGGATGGCAAAGTTGCTGAATCGGTGCATGGAAGAAAGCCGTATGCCAAGGATTACCTGCCTTGGACTGTTATGTGAGCAAAAATATGTTTCTATTGTGTTAAACCACTGAAAGTTGGGGGTTTATTTATTATAGCAGGTAGTATTACCCTAATAAAAACAGTCCTACTGTATATTTATATGTAGATATACACACATAAGGGAACAAAGCCCAATTTCAACAAATCTAATGTGTTATGGTTCATTTTACACACCTCCATCTTCTTTGCAACAGAGCAAAGTGTTATTTCTCTTTTACTAACAACCTTAGCAACATCTAAAGATTATCTTTGGAATATGTAGAAAACTTAACAATGCTTTTTAAAAGACTAGTAACTTTAACTTCTGAGGGGAAGGGATGTGAATTTAATGAGAAAGAAATTTCTTCTGGGGCCTTAAATTTCCATTACTAAAATCATTAATTTCAAGGAAATGTCAACGAGATGTAAACAAGTAGAACAAAACTAACCAAACTCTGCTCCTGTTTCAATGATCCTTTCCCTAGATATCTCAAAAAATTCTGATCTGTTAAATACTCCTTTGAGACTATTTGATAAATTCTATGGTGTTATCCCTCACTGGAGTATTTACCAAACAACTTGTTAAGAATGAAAACTCCTGATGGTCCAAAGGAATGATTATAATGGCAATGGTGAAATTTCAGACAAAGTACAAAAAAAGAAGGAAGAAATTCTGGGCAGATACCAGCCAAATGTCTTCCAAACCATAACAGGTAGGCAACATTAAAATTTACTAGTATTCTTCATGCTAATTCTGACTTCATTTAAGCTTTTTATTGCCCCACCAATTTAGCTCTCTCTGGGTTATCCAACAGGTGGATTGGAAAAGAGGTAAACTGGCATCAGTTCATAGAAGATCCTTAATTTTTCTTTATTAATGGGCTTCATCCTGGTGACTAGAACAAAAAAATGTTAGGCTTTGGGAATTGTATGCAACCCTAAGGCTTACCTTGTGCAATGTGCTGGAGAAACAAAGTACCACATATGCCACCAGCTCTCTAAGAACTCAACATCAACGTAAAAGATTGACATGCAATCCATATCACCAACCTAGAGTTTTCTTCTAAGTGCTAGACCCATGTATCTAACTAGCCATTGGCCACCTCTTAGTAAGATGTTCTACAGGCATCTGATACTCGACATGTTCAAAACTGATCTCATCGTCACTTTCTCCTCCCATCTTCAACTCTTCATCTTTCATGTATTCCTGGTCTTGGCGAATGGTCCCATGATATTTCCAATTGCCCAAATCAGAAACTTAAAATTCATCATCCTCCTTCACTATTATCTCCACATACACATGTCCAATCACTTCTAAGCTTTATAGACTATAACTTATCAATAAATATCCTCAAATTGAATCTCCTCTCTCTAGCCCTATTATGTCAGGCAATATATCATCTTTCACCAGAGTTAGGTGGCAGCATCCTAAAGATCATACTCTCTATCTGTTCTCTGACCACATACTCTACAAGCAACTTTCCACATTGCTGTCAAAGTTCTTTCTAAAGAACAAATCTTACCATGCCCTTCCCCTATTTCAAAGTCTTTAAGAGGTCTTTGGAGATCTTCAGGATAACATTGTATATCCTTAGCATATAGGTCATTTAGTTTCTGACCCCAAAGATTTGCTCTGCATCCATCTCCTTCCACTTCCTCATACATATTCTGTATTCCAGCCTTACTAAAATCAATAGCAAACTAAAAGAAGAATAAATTCAAAACTAAAATTAAATCTGCTAGGAATTCTCTGTATACCCTATGGTATTCAGTGCTTCCATGCTTTCACATGTTATAATCCTTCTGCCCACCTGGAATGTTTTTTCCCTCCCCATCTGTCTGGCTAACACTTACTGGAACCTCCAAACTCAGTTAAAACATTACCTCCTCCTGGAAACTTTTTTGACCTACTCATGAGAGGTGCCTTCCTCTGTACATTCACATCATAGGATATATACCACACATGGCACTAACAATACTAATGCACTTGTTGATCAGCATATCAGTCACTGTCACTAACTGTTATTCATCTCTCCATACTCAGCCCTTGGTACAGGACTTGGCATAAAATAGGCCATTAATTAATTAACTAATTAATTAAAAGTTATTTGTAACTTTAAAATAAAATTTGAAAATAAGTCCCATTTTTCTTTATTATCATTGGGTTTTGGTTTGGTTTTGCTTTATTGGGTAAAAGTGGTAAGGACGTCTTCAGGTAACAACGTTGCCAATAGATATATTAAACTATTTCCTGTGGATCATTTCTCTTTCTTATATCAAATGAATATGGTAATTGCATTGAATACTTCCAGAAACTTCCAAGTTAATCTTATACTTACTGAAGGTTCAGGTTTCTAAGATAGGTAATGTTACACCCCTTAGTATATCTGATTGTTGCATTAAAAGAGAAGCCCATTTTCACTCCCTCTGTGCAATAAGGTTTATCCAAAAATATTTTGAAAAAAATGAAAGGAGATATTGAAGAAATAAATTCAATGACAAATGGAAGGATACAAATCATCAAATGCCATGTGTTCTCTCATTCCATAGGATTGTATACAGAAGTATATGTGTGAGGAAGGAGAAATATGACAATGAAAGCTTGTCATCATCCTCTGGTTTTCTATTTGAAGCCTCATGAGCACACACTATTGTGTTTCTTAAGGAGGAAACAGCAATTCCTAACTTAAATATAAAACTTATTCAAACATGTCTCTGTGTGTATCTTATTTTACACATGAAGTCACTATGATCAAGGAATATTTCATGGCTTTCCCTTATTTTAGTTTCGTGAAGGAAGAAGAAATTTTTAAACAGTGAAAATAAAATACATCCTTTTTCTCCATGGGTAAAAGTAGGACTATCATTGATTAAATAGCAGAAAGAAAATGAAAAAAAGTTTGTTAATTCTTCATTTTAAAAGGGTTTTCACCTAGTGTACTCTGAGTGAGACCCCCTTAAACATAGATGAAAAGGAGTTTACCACATGACATGACTTTTAGGTGCCAGATCTTATTCTTCTATCCCTTGTTGTCTGGTACCATGACTGGCACGTAGTGGGAACTAGATACATTTTGTTGAATGAATGAATGAGGAAATTAGTAAAAAAAAAAAAAAGAAAAAAGGTTAAGTGGAAATTAATACAGTATCCACATTATATGTAGTTAAAACTAAAATATAAAGAAGGAAATACATTCAGCTCTTAGCAGGTGCTAGCATCACTCAGCTGTCTTGTGAAGAAAGGTCTTTGGGTTGGAGAATGGGGGAAGAGTGTGGTACTGGAGGTGAGGAGGGAGCAGTGGAAGTATTAAGGGTTATAATTCTGCTCACGCAAAGAGAAGTGGGGAGTGCTAGCAGAAAAAAACTGGTGGCAAATGTCGAGCTGACTCAGACATACTGGAAGAGAGAAATTTAGGAGGAAATACTTGGGAAGGATTCTTACTTCCTAGAGAAATCAAAGCCAAAGGCAGTTATCTAATTGAGTAACCATTTAGGAGCTTTGATATCAAAAAGTACTGCAAGCTGGAGAACCACTGCAAAGCCAAGGGATGTTTTGTTTCACATTTAAATCAATGGGAGAGCTCAAAGATGAGCTCTCTGAGCTGCTCAGGAGCCTTTTTATTTGTCTCTAGTTAGGGCTTTCTTACAGCTCTCAGTTCTAAACAGTCAGCATTTTTTATTGAGACTCCTATACCATACCTCTCTGCTCACTCTCAGCAGATTACCTTGTCAAATATACTATTGAAAGAACAGAAGCCATAAGAAACACAAAAGCCTTCAATATCCCTTCTGCCCCCTCCTCCTCTAGACCCACCCACAATGGCACCTGATTCTTGCCTGCACCTTTATCACTTTATCATCTCAGAGAATTAAGCATTTGCTCTTTCCTGATCATGCATATGTTCTGTCCCTGGACATTTAAGTATTTTCTAGATTTTTCACTATCACTAACAATGCCACAGTGACTTTCCTTATGCCTATCCCTTTGTGCTCTTGGACACATCTGGAATTGCCCATGTTGTTAGCTAAATTAGTTCATCTGATCTGTCACCAACCCCTCTTGTACAGTCAAACTTTGAAAAAGTTGAGCAGCCACACTCTCTAGGTCAGAGAAAAAAGACACATCAGCAGTTCTAACTTTTCCCAGCGATACATTTACTGATCTCACCTTTACAGAGACCCAACTGGTGTGACTCATTATTCAGCACAGTTCGCTGATGTTACTTAGAAGTGATCAATACGGGGTAATGTGAACAGACAGCTGAATATGAACAGCCTAATACTTGCTCTATACGTTGTTCGTGGCATTATGAGAACATTTGTTCTCCTAAAAGCTCAGGATGCCAACTCCTTCTTAATAAAACATTAGTTTAGCTCTATTGGGTTGCAATTAACCTCTTTGTCATGGACTGCCTAATCTTAAAAATAAAAGGAAGT